TCTGCCCTGGAGCCTTCCAGCCCTGGCAACCAGTGTGAACCATTTTGAAGCACAAATCTGACCATGTCTCCATCTCCTCCCAGGCCCCAGGTTAGGGGACCCTGCTGTCCCCACTGACTCACATACTCACATACTGTACCTGCAGTTCTCTTCCTCCGGCTACATGTAGATCCTTCACTTTTCTGTCCCTTCTCCTCCTGCGCTCTGGCTGCCCCTGAGTTGCTGGATCTTTTTTTCAGAACCCACTGAAGCACTGTGTCCTTGAAAAGCCAGCCTGGACCTCCCCTAGTATCCAGCAACTCAGATGGACTCTGTGATACCCTACACATTTCTGCCACTCTGGCCCAGATATTGTGTAGTATTTCTTCAGGGATTAATGGATGGGCCCTACCCACTTCAGAAGGGTGGGTATGTCTCCCCAGAGCCTTTTAGAGGTCTTGGCACAGACTGGGTCCATGGGGGCCACTGCCCTGGGCACATTTACCTTATGACTGCCAATGGGAGCCCTCTCCCCCCATGCAGTGGGTGGGGCAGTCTGCTGGAGCCTTTCAGAGATTGCTGTGGTGTGGGCATGGGGGTGTCCTGACAGGTCTGGGCCAGCCACACAGGTTTGAGAGAGCCACCTGTAGCCACCCAAACCGTGGGGCCTAAACTCACCTTGACCTCATCAGTAATCATCATGGCTTCTTGGGACATGACTGACATGTCCGACAGTTCTGAATAGTAGTTGACCACCAGGTTCTGCAGCTTGTCCAGCTCCGTGGGGTATCCTATAAGTACCTGCATGGAGTGGGCACAGGCAGGTGGGCATGGAGGCCATAGGCAACGTCAGTGCTGCCCACACTATGCTGGCTTCCCTCATGCCTCCCTGATTCCCTTGTAGCCTCTACACAGAATGGATCTCACCCACCCTCCATCCTTACTGTATGAGCTCTTGAGAATAGTGATGGGGTCTGATCTGTGGCCCTAGCCTAGAGCAGGGCACAGGGACGATGAGAGAAATGTTCTGGGAGAAGCAGGCAGCCTGGAGACTCCCACTGCCCAGGCCTGAACATGGTAAGGAAATAATGTTCTACACCAAGAAAGACTGACTCTGGAGCCCAGGAGGGTTTGCTTGGGGGCAACTCCCTCTGCAAGTGGAGCAGAGGGGCTTGAAACCTGGGTTTATGGTCACAGAACCCAAGCTCAAAGGCAAGGCCACTCCTATCAGCCAGCCATATAACCTTCGGAAAGTTACTTAACTTCTCTGAGTGTCTCTGTCTGTAGAAAGGTTATACTGGTTCTTTCAAAAAGTTGCTGTCAGCATCAATGGACAATGTAAGATGGAGTGTTTAACACAAGGCCAGGTGCAAAGGGTCAAAAAGAGTTTAGCTATTAGTAGTCTGTTGTTAATAACCACAAAGTCCCGATCCTTGCCAAATTTTTAAAAAAGTGTAGATTGCTATGGGAATTTTTAAAAAGTGTATATGTTCTGAAAAGAAGCAGGTACTACAGAGGAGAGACATAAGGCATGCCCAAGCGAAAATATGGGGAGGGGGCCAGGAAAGAAAGGTGGGCAGGGCCTCTAGGTGAGCATCCAACACCAGGGCTGGAGGCAAGACAGGAGGACGGGAGGATGGAGTTGAGAGATGGGCATGGGGCCTGGGGTTGGGAACTAGACTCCCAAGGAAGAGCTGCCCTTCCCAGCCTATCCACCTGAGCCCAGTCTTAGGGCTTCCCCTGCCCACCTTTCTAGGCCCTGGGCTCTCAGGCAGGCCCATCATGCTGTTCTCAGCACCTGGCTGCCTGTGAATCTCCCTCCACATCTCTGCTCTGAAATGTGGGAGGCAGCGGGGCAGTGACAAACCTCCCTGAAAGGGATCTTGCCTCACAGTGGGATTTGTAGCCATCAGGGGCCAGGATCTGTTGTCTGCTAGAGTGGGGCAGCTGGATGGGAAGGCAAGCAGCAAGCTGTAGGCCCAGCAGACCTCCAAGGTACAGAGGTGTCAACTCTGTACCATATTGGGGAACTGAGGGCCAGGCTGGTCTCTGACCCTCACAGGCTCACACTAAGCCATTTCCTATGTGTGAGAAAGTCCAAATGGCTCTGCTACACTCCACAATTGCATTCTTGAAAAATGAAGCTCTTAGATGTTTCCAAGTACTTTAGAGCCCTGTTTTGTTGGCAGCCTGGAGGAGAGCGCAGGTCTGGGGGCAGCCCCGTCGCACCGAGACCCGACCCCCAGGCCGGGGTGGGGAGAGGGGCTCACTTTCTTCAGGTAGTCTAGCAGGCCCAGGTACAGCAGGTGGATGTTCTGGCAAGTGGTGATCTTGAGCGTCGTCTTTTCGATGTTGTTCTCCAGCTGGCGGATGACCTGGGTCAGGTACAGGGTTCATTGAGAGCGCCTGGGGACAGGCCAGCCAGAGGCAGAGACCCTGCCCAGCGCTCAGCTTTCTCCCAAGAGGTCGCTCCACTAGTGCAGCCCCTCCCGCATGGCTGCCCCTTCTCCACTGGAATTCCGCTTCTCTAGAGGACCTGCCCTGAGGCTGAGTCGCCTTCAGACCAAGGAGCCCTATACTGCAGGGTCCACCAGCCAACAGAGCCCCGCCCCCGTAGCCCCGCCCATTCGGAGGCTCCGGCCTGGCGAGCTCGCAGAGCTCCGCGCCCGAGGCACCTGCAGCATCCTCTTCTCCTCCTTGGAGGCTTCTGACTTGTTCCGCAGGCTGGCCAGCTCCAGTTGCATGCTTTCCAGCCTCTCCCCGCGCAGCCGCACCAGATGGATCAGCATGTTGTGCGCGTTCACACGATCGAAGACGTACTTGCGCAGATTCGCCCGCGCCACCTGGGTCGGGGAGGGCAACCGTGCGTGCGTGCGTGCGCGATGGGGCGCCGCGGGGCACCCAGGAGGGACGCGTGGCTGCCCTACAGGAGCCCTGGGATGGGAACTTGCTCTTCCCTCCACAGGTTCCAGAGCGCTGTACAGTTAGGGGTGGGTCATGGGACGGGGCGAGGGGTCGGCCCCTGGCTTGTCAGCCTCGGTACCTCCACGGTGCTGCGGCCTTGCGCCATCCTCGTGTGCACGTCCTTCCCGCAAGCTTTGGAGATGGTCCACTGGTCGTTCTGCGGAAGGGCGGCGGCTGAGCCAGGCGTAAAGCCCCAGGCCTCCTCCAGCCGCCGGCCCCTGCAGGCATCTCCCTGAGGCCTCTTTTACCAAATACTAGCCCAGCACCAAGACCTCTGCTCCTGGGGCCGCCAGAGGAGAGCACCGCGCCACCCGACTGGCCACGCAGGAGGGTCTGGCTTGGGCGCCAGGGGCCGGGGGTTTGGAGAGGGACGCCAGAGGCCCCTGCGGCGGGACTGGGACGTGCGTTTCAGACGCTGAGCCCTCCGAGTGGGTGGTGAGGAACCTGCCCTGGGCAAGGGTCATAGTCAATCTCTCCCCACAGCCCCCTGCCTCAAGAGAGGAAAGGGTGGGGGATGAGAAGAGGGGGTGTGTATTTCTTCAGCTCGAGCCCGCCCCCATCCCCCACCTGCGAGGAGGGGGCAGGGCTTGGGCACCTTCTTGGCCAAAGCCCAGTCCTGGGCCCCACGGCGGATGTTGCTGCGCAGAAGGGCCTGGGTTGCTTTGTTCTGTGCGATCTTGTCCTTCACCCCCTGGATCTGGAGCGCCCGACATTGCTCTGTGGTGAAGGAGGGGACAGGGTGGCCAGGGTGAGGGCGGGGAGGCAAGAGAAGGGTAAGGGAGAACACTGCTTCCCCAGCCATGCTCCCTCCTCCCACTCTTCTCTGGGAGGAACGGGCTCCACTCCTCTGCAGGGGTGATCTGCAGGGTTGTCAGTGAAAGAGTGTTGGAGAGGCCCAAACCAGGAATGGGGCATCCTTACTGTCTTCCAAATATGCTACCCACAGAAGAGGCAGGCTCTTCCCGTCTCTTTGGTTCTGGTGCCCCAGTTGCTCTTAAGCTCACAAATCTCCTTTAGGTTCCCTCCTTCATACAGCCCCCTCCCATGGCAGACCCCTTAGATTCCCTTCTCCCAGCCTGGGCCTTGGGGATGGCGGTGGGGGTATAGTTGGATGACCAATTGCTCCTCCATGTCCTGGTGTTAAAACTGAAGGTACTGGTCCAAGAACAAGGAACCAAGAACCCTTGGTCCCTGCAGGCCAAGTTTCAGCCAGCGCAGGGCTCACCTTGAAGCCGAGTGATGGTCCTTAGCTCCTGACTCTCCACATCTGCCTCATGCACTTTCATGATGGCTCTCAGGGTCCTTCGGGATCCCTGTGCGCTGCCCACTCTCCCTGTGTGTTGTCTATTCAACAGAGCCAATGCTCAGATTGTCCCTGGAATTTCAGCCCATTGTGAGGGTGGTCAGGGTTCTCAATGCCCAGAGAATATGGAATCCCCTCCTCCAGCCAGCCTCAGAATCACCTCTGGACAGTTGCCCTAATGGAAGAGTCTTGTAGTGGCTGCTCACTGCTTAGGACCTCTGCTGTGTCCAGGAACCTGTTTCCTTGGTGGTGGTGGATAATTTGTAACTGTCTGGCATAGCACCCCATGCCTGCACCTCTGCACCTTCCATGTTCCCTCCCATGCCCCTGGGCTGCTTCTATAGTCTCTGGACTGTGTCTCCCAAACCTATTCTGATGTCTTTACCTTGCAGGAACTCTATCCCCCGACCCATGTTCCAACTTCAAAGTCCATACCCTGGGTGACCTGGCTTACCATTCACTTCCCCATTTCTTCCACCTTCTCCTGATCTTTGCTGTGCTGCCTGGAGCCCAGCCAGTCGGCCCCCACCTCCCTCAGAACCCCTGGGCCTTTGTTCAGAAGTTACTTTCTCTAGGAGGGCCAGCTCCCTGCCCCTGACCCTTCCCTTTCCCCTAGAGTAGTGTGCATGGAGAAATGAACAGCCTGGGATGCTGGGGGCCACATGAGATATAGGTACCTGTTCCCCAGCCTTGTTGGCATGGGTTTTTTATAACAAAGCACCACAGACTAGTGACTCACACAAGTTTATTCTCAGTCCCGGAGGCTGAAGTCTAGGATCCAGGTGCCAAAGGCTGGTTTCCCTGAGGCCTGATTCCTTGGCTTACAGACACTGTCTTTTCCCTGGGCCCTCAGGGAGTTGTCTCTCTGTGCATGTTTGTGTCCTGATCTCCTCCTGTAAGAGCACACACCGGTCACATTGGATTAGGCTCCCCATGACCTCATTTAACCTTTATGTACCTTGTTAAAGACTCTGTCTTAGTCACATCCCAAAGTACTAGGGGACACAATCAGACCACAACATACACAATTTGGTGTCTGGCGGAAACAAGCTTGCTAGCTCTCCATTCTCCCTTGGATACTGACTCCCTGAACTTCAGTGGGACATGTGCCTGGCCAGAGCAAAACTGCCTTCCTGGGTGTCCCTACCATAGATGCTCAGTTCTGGCCAGTGGTGTGTAAGCAGAAATGGTAGGTGACCTGCTTTCCTTGTCTCCTTTCTTCCTCCTGCATAATGTGATAAAGAGACAATGCTGGAGTCCGTGTGACCACCTGGCACCATGATGAGTGGTCATGGAGGGAACAGGCTGAAAGGAGCCTTGTTCTTGACTAACCACCCTGGCCCGCTACTGTGGTCTGAGCAGTCTGTCCTCCAAAACTCATGCCAGAGTTTAATACCCCTTGTTAGGTATTAAAAAGCTGGAAACTTGGACTGTGGTGTTCAGAGGTGGGGGTCTCTGGGAAGGGGTTAAAGATTAGATAAGGTCAGTAGGTAGGGTGGAGCCCTCCTGATAGAAGACTGGTGGCCTTGCAGGAAGAGAGAAAGAACAGGAGACCCATATGCTGTTGCTCACCAGGGATGCGCTGGGCCACCTCTGGACCTTGTCAGCAAAATGACCATCACCAGATATAGCCTCTCATGCTTTGACCAGACTTGGGCCAAAATAAATCCCTTTTCTTTATAGGTATGGTATATTATGGGCACCAGGAAACAGATTAAGGCACCCACCTGGACTTTTACAGGAAAGAAAATGAAGTTCTAGTTCTAGTTTGCCTAAGCCATTGTTATCTTGGGCCTGTGGCCATTCTGCCTTCCTTCTGAGACACCCTCAACAGACATTCTGAATGAGTGGCTCCAAGATGCCAGGGCAGAGCTGGCTGACCCAGCAGTGGGCCTTCTAGTACGGGGAGTGGAAGTCTGGACCATCTCTGCCTCTGTCTTTGTGGACTGTGATGAAGGCCATCTGGCCTTCAGCTTTCCTTTTCCATGGAGAGGAGGCCTCACCAATAGGTGAGTTTGGAATGACAGGGACCCCACATAAAGAAGCCTCAGAGCCAGGAGGAATCCGAATTCTGGGGTTCTGCATTAGGAACTTCCTTCCCACATCCTCGGCAGTAGCTGTATTGTCATAAAGATGACATCTGATCTTGGGCTGGGGTGGTGGCTCAGTGGCCTAGGGTACTGGGTTAGATTCTCAGCACCACATATAAATAAATGAATAAAATAAAGGTTCATCAACATCTAAAAAATTTTTTTAAAAGGAAGATGACACCTGATCTGTATTTGTTTCCCTTTGGTAGTACTAGGAATTGAACCCAGGGGTGCTTACCCACTGAGACTTTTTTTTTTTTCTTTTGACAGCGTCTCACTAAGTTGCCCAGATAGGCCTTGAACTTGTGGATTCTGCTTCAGTTTCTCAAGTGATCTCATCTTTGCTCTACCGCTGAACTATACCTCTTGCCCTTTTTTGTTTTTTAAAACAGAGCCTCACAAAGTTGCTGAGGTTGGCCTTGAACTTGCCATCCTCCTGCCTGAGTCTTCCAAGTAGCTGGGATTATAGGCATAGACCACCGTGCCTGGCTGTTCTCATTTCCTTGCCTCCTTTATTTTCAGTTGCTTTAGAGCTCTGGAGGGAAAAAGGACAAGCCATTTATTAGCCTCACACAGCCAGCACCAGTGGTCTCCCCAGACTTGTTGTGGGTGTAGGGGCTGGAAAGGGGACACCAAAGTACCCAGGATGCACAAGTCCCTTCCCACCATGCAGGCTACCTTCTCCACTTGTGTGTGTGCAACAGGGCACAACCATTTCTGGCTCACAGTGTTTACCCTGTTTCTTGCTGCCCCACAGGAGAATGCCCATCCCCAGAACCCTTCTGAACAGATGACCACCTGGGCAGGTCCTGGTTTGGGGGCAGCAACAGCAGAATGCACAGGTCTGTCAGGCTTGGACAGGCATGTGTGCAGAGGACACAGGACACACCTAGGTCCTAGAACTTCAGCTGCTTCTTGCTGCCCCCCAGGCCCTCTCACCTGTGCCTCTGTCTCTGGGAAGTTGCCCTGTCTCCAGGAAGAGCCAGAGGTTGCTGCATTTCTGCGATTCCACTCTTGTCACCCCATAGCTTGCCACAGAGCCTGCAACTGGGGAGCAGGAAGCAGGAGGGTGGTGGGCTGTGGGGCCTTAGCCTTTGCATTTTTCAGAAGGGAAGGTGAGCACAGGCTATGTCTGGGCAGACATGGTGGGTGAATTTGGACAGGGCTTCTATGCAAACTGGAGGCCCAGCCAGAGGCAGGGGTGATGGAACCATATTCTCAGCAGAAACCCATCCTTGCTTAAGACATAGTCACCTGTGCTATTCAGGGGCATTTCAGGTACATACTCTGGGATACCCACCCACAGCCATCAGCACGCTCCACTGCATCGGGTACGGGAACTTTCTCTGAATGAACATCTGCAGGCCGAAGGTCATGCCGGTTCCTGCCAAGAGCCAGGGTCCACCAATCAGCCAGTAGGCTGGGCTGGCTGGGGACCACCTGGGTGCTCCAAGTGCACCTGCTGGCAGGCGGCTTGGCGCCACCTGCTGGAGAGTCAGGGTGGGACAAGAGAGTGCGGTTTTTTTTTTTTTTTTTTTTGACACCACAGGACACCTGGACCCAGCCTACCTGTGACAAAGGTGAACACGCCCTTCATGAAGGCGTTTGACTGGCACGCAGCGTATTCCCCGAGTCCCTGGGAGACGGAAGGGAGTTCGAGGCTCAGTCCTCCCTCCCTCTTCTCTCACCTTCCCTCCAGTCCCTCCTCTGGGCAGGCCCTGGTCGTGGAGGGGTAAGACGCTGGGGACTGAACACGTCCCACCTCCCCTTAAGCCCACCAGGGACGCCCCAGGCCCAGGCAGGAGCGTGCCCCTTCGCCCCTCCTTCCTGCCGGGGCTCCCAGCCAGCCCCCCGTCCCGCTTAGGTCAGCTGCTGAGGCCCGGGGCCGCGTTGTGGGCCGGTCTTCTCACCGGGTGTTTGGCGGCCACGGCGTCGTCGACGCGGGACAGGCCAAGGGTCACCATGGTGGCCTGGTAGGAAGCGCCCGCCTGCAGAAGACGGCGAAGAGAGGCGGGGATGGGGGCGGGGATGGGGGCGGGAACGGGGGGCGGGAACAGGGGCTCCAAAGCGCCGCCTGCGCAGGCGCAGCCACTTGCTTCGCGGACGGGAGAGAAGGTCGTGGTTCCTGTTTATCAAGCTGGGGACGTGCTGCAGAGCTCCACTCAAGGGTTGGAGTTCTTAAAAGCAACCACGAGTATGATTTGGAATTATAATCATATGATTATAATTATATAATTATAATTCCAAATTATAATTTGGAATAATTATTTAGCAAAGTACTTTCTACAATACTGATTAAGCCCATTCTTGGTACCAATTCTGTTCTGAACCTGGGGTCCCACGGGGGACTTGGAGCCCCTGCCCTCAGAGTCTGGCTGACCCTTACTGGCCTCCAACCCAGGAGCGTTGGAAGGCCCAGGCTTCGGGCACCCCTCAGGAGGCTCTCAGAGTTCCCAAAAGTGTGACCCAGCAGTGGGGAAGCAATAGATAGTGTGAGAAGAGGGAGAACCCACAGGCCTTGTCCGTGAGGCTGGAGAGGATGAGAATGCGGGGACATGCGTCTTGCGAGACAGGAGCAGGAAATGGAGCGGAAGAGGTGGATGATGAGTTTCAGGGCAAATACGCTGGAGGAAGGACAGGAGAAACGTTTAAAACAGGTAGAAGAGATGTAGAAGGAGGGATAGGGAAATGCAATTGCAGACTCAAGTTTCTAGACTTCCAGACCTGCCCCTCTCCAAGCCAGTGTCTCTCCCAGACCTTTACCCCCAAAAATTTCTGGAAAAGTTACTGTGAATTCACCCACTTATAAAATTTACTTTGTATACTGTTAATTAGCCCACCAATAAATAGATTTAAGTAAAGAAAGCTATGACATTTTAAGAAATCTGTAGAGGACAAGACTGAGATCATCTCCACACACCTTTCCATACCCACTTCTCACCAAGTTTCCTCTGAAGAAGAGCGAGGAACCTCCAGATCACATCTCTTACTGGAGATGGCCACGTCCTCCCTGAGTGTGAGCTCCTGCTTTCCTCAGGAAGACTGTCCTCTACTGATGTGCTGCAGTTCTTCTCTATCGTGTCTGCCAAGGTCTCAGCTGACCCTGAGTTGAGTGCCCCCTTTCTCCCAAGAACTCTTTGGGATCCTATCCTGGAGATCTCTCTTCTTCGGTGACAGGTTGGTCTGGCTTGCTGTGAAGTCCAGTTGGGTGGTGCAGCCAGGTGGTTTTCTCCTGTTGGGCTCAGACAGTGTGGACTGGCTGGGTTTGGGTGGAGCTGGCTAGAATTTGCTAGGTGAGTGTGCCTGGGTTTGAAGCTTAGTAGGTTGGTTCTGGTGCCTTCCAACAAGCTCAAGGGAGGAGGGAAGACAAGGGGGCATATAGTCAAGGGTCAGGAGCTTGGAGGCACCCCGTAGGGTAGCATGATGCTGGAGTGAGGACAGAAAAGCAGTGATTTGAAAGCCAGCAGGTAAGGTGAGGTGAGGTGAGGTGGCCAGGGCAGGAGGCTGGACCTGAGCAGAGGAGAGGTGTGACCTCCAGGCTGAGAAGGTAGGCATGCACCAGCCACTGTTGGTCCTGAGGGTTGGTGGGAGCATGAGCCGGTTGCTAAAGTCCAAACGGTGGGGAGTGGAGATGCCAAAAGCAAGAGGGTGGCTTGGGGAGTGGATGTGTCCTCAGGGCTCTGGAGAAGGAGGAGGAAGGTTTAGAAGCAGCCATAGAAGAACTGGGCCCTGGGTAGGATGGGGTGGGAGGAGCACACATGCTGAAGGCCGCAGAAAACCTGGGCACAGATCCTGCTTGGCATCCATGGCACAGCCACAGAGATGTGGTGCTTTCAGTTCTGGTCTTCTGAGGCCTCTCTCCTTGGCTTGTAGATGGTGCCTTCTCCTCAGTCCTCATACAATCTTCCCTTTGTGCCCATCTGCTCTGTATATGAGGGTTTAAGGAATGTGCCTCAGGATTGGGGCTAGTTTCTATGGCTTAGCAGCATGTTTGACCTTTCAGGGCTTGGGCCGATAACCTAAGCAGCTTATCAGTGCCCGGAACATTCAGGGGCAAACTTGGGCTCAAGCCTGCAGGGAACGCACGCAGCTGGCCCATCTAGGATGGGAATTGAATAGCCCACTCGAGCAATGCTACCCTTCCCAGAGCTTCCCAGAACACACCAGAGAAAATGATCTACCAGACAGCAGGTTCCTTTCCCAATAAAAAAATAAAAAATAAAATAAAAGGGGCTCAGGATGTAGCTCAGTGATACACAGCCCCTGGGTTCAGAAGAAACAAAACAAAACAAAAACCAATAGCTTTGATTTGTGAGAAATAGAAGGTCTGGTGCTCCATTTTCAAAATATAGTATTCAGCTTTATTTGGATCAAATTGTAGCCATTTTAATTGGAGTCCTTCCCACCCCAATTTAAAAATTAGCCAGTCATGTACATTGTACCCCTAAGTGCTCCAATCAGGGCGAAAGGTAGAGCTGCGTTAGGGATTTAAATCCGCAGACTGGTGCAAGTGGGCTTGCTGCCAGGTCCCAGGAGCACCCCTTTCTGGCAGAAGTAAAGGTTTTCATTGCCTTGGCCACTTTTGAGCACGTGTTTGATTTCTTGCAGGACCTAGTTATTTCTAAGGATTGGAGGTGAGGATCTGAGCTTAGTGCCTTACTTTGATAGACTTATTTCTCCCTTTTAAAATTTCTTGTAAGGCTGGGGTTGTGGCTTAGTGATAGAGCGCTCGCCTCACATTTGTGAAGCCCTAGGTTTGATCCTCAGCACCACATAAAAACAAATAAATTAAATAAAGCTATCGTGTCCATCTACAACTAAAAAAATATACATATATGTATTTTGTATGTGGCGCTGGGGATTGAACCCAGGGCTTTGTGCACGCAAGGCAAGCAGTCTACCAACTGAGCCATATGCGCAGCCCTACAACTAAAAAATATATATTAAAAAATTCCTTGTAGTTAAAGATGCTTTCTTTTGAGCCCAGTGAGGTAGCCCACACTTGTAATCCTAGTGACCTGGGAGCCTGAGGCAGGAGGTCACAAGTTCAGGGCCAGCCTCAGCAATTTAGTGATCACCTCAGCAACTTAGCAAGATCCTCTCTCAAATAATTAAAAGGGCTGGGGGGTGTAGCTCAGTGTTAGAGTGCCCCTGGGTTCAATCCCCAGTACCAAATAATAATAAAAAATAATGATAAATTTAAAAGACTGATGGTTGCTTCTTAGTGAAAGTGATGCATGTTCCATGTGATATCAAGAGCAATGCAGTTGATCCTAAAAGTGAAACACAACTGCAAACCCAGCAGTGCTGGCGAGGGCTCAGACCTTGGGGCACAGGAGCTGCAGGGTGCACAGCAGTATGGCCCGTGGTTCTTGCACCTGCTCCTTCCCAGGGCTTGGGGTTGGGGGCTGGGCAATGCCCCATTGTCCTAGAAGAGCACGGACCACATCCAAAGTCCACCTAGACTCCCTCTATCTCTTTCTGGCCTCAGTGCCACTTACACACCCCAGGTCTGCAGTCTTCTCTCACTCCCTAGCTCCCGCTGCTGAGAACCACACAGCTCCAGGGCAGATGTCGGTCCCCAGCGAGAAGAGAAGTGACTTCCAATGTTCTAAGCTGCTCCCAGTTACTGGCCTAGGCCAAGGGGCTGTAACCTCCTGCCCCAGAGCTCAGGGCTGCACCTCAGTCCCTGCCCCCATGCACCTTTCTGGGGCTGGGAAAGCTTCTGGGTGGGCTGGTCTCCTGAGAGTGAGGGAGGTATGGATCTCCCCAAGCCTCAGACCCCTGAGCCTGGGTTTCCCCAGATGTAATGGGGGAGGGTCTGCCCAAGGCCTCTGTTCTCCTTCTGGGTGAGGCCCTGATGCCTGCCGTGGCCATCTGCTCTGCTGCCTGTCAGCAGGGCCACTGTCTGGCCCCTCATCCTTGCAGGGTTCCCATCTGCCTGCCTGCCCCCTTGGCATTCTGAGGCCAGTGGCGGCCCCTCTGCTCTGCGGCCTCAGGGACCAAGGTGGTGGAGGAGCTGCCGTGGTAAAGAGGCTGCTGGAGGGGAGCTCTACCCCGGAGACCTTGCTGTGCCTCTTGGCCAGGGTGTGTGCAGGGCTGTGGTGAGGGCTGATCTTGGCCCACCCCCAGCCATGGGTCTGCTCCTGGAAGTGGGTCCTGGAAGCTCCAGCTGCCTGCTCCCTCTCTCCTCCTGGTGCTCTGGGAAGTGGCCCAGAGGTAAGGTAATCTTGGTGGCTCTCTGGGCCTAGGCTTTGAGGCCAGCAGGGATGCCTGGGGCCTTCCCTCTACCTGCCACATGCCTTCTTGGCCCAAGCCCTGGCAGGGCCTCTGGGGGTGTTCTCAGGTCCCATGCTTTGGTTGTCTGACCCTTGTTAAGGTCATGGATGGAGTGGTCCCTGCATACTCGATTATATGCTGGACAGTGCTCAGGAGGGAGTGAAGGGACGGGAGGGGGTACAGCACAGACAGCATGCCAGCGGAACACGGGGCTTCTTCTTCCCTCAGTGTGTTCCCCCTCCATGTGTGACCCCTTTTGTCCCCGCCCCCTGGATGGGCATGGCTGCAGGGGTGGTAGTGCTGGGCCAGCCACCCATTCTCCTGCAGCCTAGGCTACCCAGATCTTCCTCTCAGCAGCCTCGTAGGAGCAACCATGTCCTGGGCCAGTCAACCAGTCAGTGCCCTTAGTATAAAGCTCCCTGGGCAGCCAGGCAGGCTGCACCTGTTCAGGTTGCATGGTGGCCACTGTGGTACCATCAGGCCCCCTTGGACACAGAGACACAATTCTTCAGACTGTTCGTGTCCTTGTCCTGGTTGGGGCTTGTGAAGGGAATGTCCTTGTGACTCAACAGGGAGTCTCCTGGAAAGACCCATAACTGTCAGCTCTCCAGGGCCAGCTGGGGTGGGTGTCCTCCAGTTTTTTCTGGGATCCGTCCACAGATCAGCTTGGACTTCAGTTCTCTGGACACTGGAATCAGCTATACTCGGCTTGGGAGGCTCCACCTGGA